AAAAAGAAAGCAAAGACAAACGCAATTGACCAGAAACAGAAACGATGGCAGGATAAACCTCTTTACGGTCAGTATTCTGTCCGTACCAAACAAGTTGGTGTAGACAAAACCCATGTACTCATCAGTGGCTACGTAGTACAGGGTTAAAAGCTGAAACTGAAGTTTTTATTATTACTGCAGAGGACCAATGCTTGCTATAGAAATTACCAAGCACACAAACTGAAAAACTATGTTAACCTACATAAGGACTCTGTGATAAATAACTAAGAAAAGCATAGCCATGTACATAATATTAGACAGATATTAGTTGATAACACAATAATACTCATACATACACACAGTAAAAAGAAACTTCAGATATTGGAGGCCATCTACATTAAAACGAAGCAACCGACACTCAACAAAATTACATTTCAAGTTAATCACAACACATTATATTGCATCTAGACATTGGTTCTGTTGTAATACTTTGGTCTATCGCATGTTATGACGTCATAGAACCACATATTGAACTTACGATCTGCGTCTGCTATTCTGCGACCGTTATCATCGCATAGCAATTTTATATGTCAAAATAACAATTTGTTTCATGATGGCTGTATAACCATTCTGAGGATGGCCCATGTGAGCCGAAAGCTTAGGACCAACTTAATAAAAAAAAATCTCCAAATGTTGGACAATTTTTGTCTTTATTTTCACCAGAAATTAAAGCAAACATTGGAACATTATAACGGCTCATGATCAGACATAATAGACATTCATTGTCTGTTGTATTTAATAATATATGTTTAAATAATGATCACCTGCCCAGTACGCGATATATATATATATATATATATATATATATATATATATATATATATATATATATATAACAATTTTACTTCGGTTTTCATATATAAAGTGATTTTTTTTATGAAAGTAGGATAAAGAATCAGAAAAATCGTTAGAATCTTAAAAAAAGTCCACTTAACTGTTATGGAATATTAGTCTTCTTATATGTCTGAGAATGCAGGACAATCTCATCACAGATAAAGAAGAAACTTGAAGCAACAAAAAGGTGGTTCTACAGAAGGATGCTGAGAATGCTATAGACAAAACTTGTGAGAAACGACGATGTTCTAGAGAAAATGGAAACAAAAAGGACTTTTATGTTTAACACTGGAAAGGTACAGTTCATTCATTCTTCAATTTATATTCCACTATAATAATGATAACTATATTTGTCTTCTGTTTTTGCCATTTAATAATTTCCTTCTCATTACTGTAGCCGGCGTTTGTATATTTAACAGCATCATCTGTGTGTTTTTGTTTTCACTTCATTCGCGAACATGTGTAAAAATTGTTTTTTTTTTTATTTCTCTTAATTTGCCTCCCGCAACGGATTTTCAATGTCATCGCCGTCGTCGTCATCATCATCATCATCATCATCATCTGTGTTTTCTACTCGTTTTATTATTTTTGTTTCGCTCTCCCCTAATTCACTACAACTATTCTTTTATTTATTCTTCTTTTTTTTTTCCATATACCTCCATCGACTTCTGGCTTTCTATCTTTTTTTAGCTTCCCATTATCTTTTCGTTTACTTTTTTGATTTTCGGCTGCTACTGTGGATCTTTTTTTTCGTTTTTTTTTTTTCTTCGGTTGACTTTCATTTTGTTGAATTTTTTCTACAGATGCTTTTTGCTTTTTTTTTTTTGCTACATCATCTTTTTGCCGTCTTTCTTCTTTTCTGTGATTGCTGTTACTTTCCTCTTCTTTTTTCGTCTTCTTTGGTTGTTTTTCTTCTTCTTCATCTACTTTTTGTTGTCGTTTCTTTCTTCTTCATTTTCATCTTCCTCTTCTACTTCTTTTTCTTCTTCTTCATCTGCTTTTACTGCTGTTGCTTTTTTCTTTGATTGCTGTTGCTTTTTCCTTCTTCATCTTTTTCATCATCAACATCATCATTTTGCTGCTGTTGCTTTCTTCTTTAACTTTTTCTTCTTCGTCATCTTCTTTTTCTTCTCCTTCTTTTACTTCTGTTGCTAACATCTTCGATCATTTTGTCCTTTTTCTTCTGCATCTCATTCTTTTTCTTTTTCTTCTTTTACTGCTTTTGCTTTCTTCTTTTCTGTCTGCTGTTTGTTCTTCATCTAATTTTGTTGCAATTTTTCTTCTTTATCTTCTTTTGCTGCTGTTGTCTTCTTTTTTTCTCCTTCTTCTTTTTCTTTTGCATTTTTTTCTAATGATTTCTTCTTTTTCTTTTTCTTCTTCTATTCCATTGCATTTAGTTTTCCTGATGACTTTTCTCTTTCATGTCCACCTTTTTTTTGCATTTCTTCCGCCTCTGATTACAGGGTCTCTACTAGATAAGGATTAGCTCTAATAGATTTCTGCAGATGTCTGACCCGCATCGCTACGACACCTGAACTCCTAACGCACCGGATTAGAACAAAATCACCTAGCATTGTTGGACGTCTACAGGCGTCTTAGGAAAGACCTAAATAGCTCAACCGGACTCCTGCTTCTTCGACCCTGACATACCCTGCCCCTATCGCATTCTAGGACATCATTCTTTGATTTTAATCTGTTATCCAAGGGTTCTCTGAAGCGTACAAAACATGGAGTCAGCTGGTTTCTAGGAACTCACCAAAAGTTTCCAGGATTCCGTCTTCGCGTCCACGGATCGCAAGTTCTAGGAACTGGAACATTGCACTCTGATTTTTCAAAACACTGACTCCAATTTCTTTAAGCAGTTTTAGAATTAAAGGAATCAGTGTCGTAGACTTTCTGGTGAATATGTTAACCCTATATCTTGCTTTGTCTGGAGTTTTGTATGTATTGTGACAGGTTTTGATAGGTCGATGGGGAGAGGTTTTTAATCCTGTATATAAAAATCACCATGCCTTTCGAAGTAGCTGTACTATTAAAGTATCGTTTTTTGTGAATGTATTTTACAAATATTACTTTTAGTGAAAAGAAACAAATTATTTTGCTGTTAGAAAGATGATCGACAGTGCTAAAAATGGTGGCAATAGAAAGTGCTAAAAATGTGGGTAATAGAAAGTACTAAAATGGTCGTAATAGAAATGACTAAAAATGGTGATATTAGAAAGTACAAAAAATTGGTGGTACAAGAAAGTACGAAAATGGTGGTACTAGAAAGTACCCCCAAAAATGGTTGTACAAGAAAATAATCAGTATTCACTCGTATTTATAACTCCGATCAAGAAAAAAAGTGGGACTTCAACAAAATTTTCAATTTTTTCGTCTTTAGAAAGAAAAACAGAAAAGAAAAAGAATTATTTTTTTATTAAAATATTTTTTTTTTATTTTAAACAATAATCTGAACTTTGTATTACTATTTTTCATTCAGTATAAGGCCTAAGAACAACTCAAGGTAGAGGATTACTAAATGAGGTGAATATTATGAGGATATGTAGACTAGATAACGGTTGACTTTAGACATGAAAAGGTTAAGATTGTAGTGTTCATGTAAGCATTCCCTTTGGAATCTGTTTCATAATGCAACAGTTCTTGAAAATAATTTGTCTGAGTGAAAAATATTTCTTATTAATGGAATACGAAGGAAATTAGAATGACTAGACAATGTGTACGACCCCGTACACATTGTCTAGTCATTCTAATTTCCTGTGGAGGTCTGCACTGGAGAGGCTTGCGATGTTTCGTTTGTAGGAAAAGGGTTGTAAAGAGGCAAACAATTCATCACTTATCTGGCCGCGTAAAATTTTTGAACTCAGTCGAGGCTGGAAAGTGGGGATTGGGCAGCTTCCTGGGAAAAAAGTGGCAACAATATTTCGATTTCGGTCTTATCTGGTTCTTGTAAAGATAGAAGATGGCATGAGGGGCCAGGTACATTCTGGAATGGTACAGAGAACAGACCATTTTCCCAGACACATTAGCGATGGCTCAAATATACGTGTTCGACTTTTCTCAACAGTATAAGCTTGAGCCCTAATAGACGTTCCTGTCAAGGAGTCTTATTGAGAATACAACCAGTCATCATGAAAATTCAGGGTCTTTTTCCGTGATAATAAAACGGACATTCCTATTGCCAGAAATAAGGGGCTTCTAGTAGCAATCCTTTTTTATCCAGGGAAGCACTACCTTCTCAAGGCACTTGATGTAGGCCTCCGTGTTGAGTCTGAGGCCCTGTGGGAAGATGAATAGAGTCATAATGTCGCCATTACTAGTGATCACTCCAAACACCTTCGTAATCAGCATTAGATTCATCCAGCTCTTTCCGAATCCTCTGCACTGTTCTCAGATTGACACCCAAGCGGTCTTAAATATTTATATTGGAGCTTCCAGCGCGAATGCCAAGTAGTACAGCATTTCAAATTTCGTGCGCAGTGAATTGCGTCATGATGCGCTTTTTCTCACAGAGAGTGCCCACCTGACCTTACAATATTGTGCAGTTGACAAAATCAAGACCAAACAACACGCATGCGCGAAATTAATAGCATAACATGCCGACAATTTACCCATATTACCCTTTATTTATATATATATATATATATATATATATATATATATATATATATATATATATATTGTTTGGTCGTGAAGTAATTTATTCTTGTTAGAAGGCAAATAATATCAGTAGCCCGTAAGATAATTAAGTAAATAGGTAATTGTCGATTGTACGGCGACAGTGACCTGATTAAGGCATGTAGCCAGCATTCTGGATTTTAAATAATTGATTGTTTTTGAAGGGTATGTTCTCTGCTTGAATAAATAATACAAGTAGTTTTTTTTTTAGGCGAAATTGAAGAGATAATGATGCAGGTTCAATGTTGTACTAAACTGAATGCAAAAAGAACAGGCTGATTTGTGAATGTTGATTTCTTCAAGATTGACGACAGCGTGGCTCAGACCGACAGGGAGTCGCCGATATGATTCATAATTTGAACGTCCTATTTGCCTTTGAGATGTTTCAGAAAAGAAAAGAAAGAAAGAAAACGATGTATTGGAAGATAAAAAAAAAATATTAACATGGATTAGACATTGTGAAAGCAAGTGTTTGCGCGTTGAGATGTCAGGTGATAGAGATATATAGAGAGTGCGTGTTGAAAGAGAGAAAAACAGTAATATGTTAAGTGTAGGAAAAGATTAAAAAACATCAGTGATAGGAGAAAGAAAGAATGAGGGAGGAGAAGGGGGAATGAGAGAGAAGGAAGTAGAGCAAAAGAAAGAGAAATAATAAGAGACAAGAAAGGAGAGAGAAAGAATGGAAAGAAGAAAGAAAGAATGAAAGAGAAGGAAGGAGAAAGAAAGAAAGAAAGAAAGAAAGAAAGAAAGAAAGAAAGAAAGAAAGAAACAACGAGAGGGAATGGAGAAGGGGAGGGAAAGAATAAGAGAAAATGAAGGGGTGAGAGAGAATGAAAGAGAAGGAAAGAGAGAAAAAGAATGAGAATGGAGAGAGAAATAATGAGAGAGAAGGAAGGAGAGAGAAAGAACAAGACAGAAAGAAGTAGAGAGAAAGAACGAGAAAAAAGAAAGAAAGAGAGAGAAAAATGAGAGAGAAGGAAGGAGAGAGAAAGAATTTTAGAGAAGAAAGTTGGAAAAATGAGAGAGAAGGAAGGAGAGCAAAAGAAAGAGAAATAATAAGAGAAGAAATTAGCTAGAAAGAATGAAAAGAAGAGAGAAAAAGGAAAGAGAAGGAAAGAGAGAGAAGGAGAGAGAAGGAAGAAGAGAGAAAAAATTAGAGGGGAGGAAGTAGAAAGAAAGAATCAAAGAGAATGAAGGAGAAAGAAAGATTGAAAAAAGGAAGGAAAAGCAAAGAATAAAAGAGAAGAAAAGGGAGAGAAAGAATGGGAAAGGAGAGAGAGAGAGAGAAGGAAAAAGTGGGAAAGAATGAGCTAGAAGGAAAGAGCGGGAAGGAATTAGAGAGGAGGAATGAAAGAGAAAGAATGGGAGAGAAGGAGAGAAAAGAGAGCATTAAGAATAATGAGATCGCAGAGAGAAAGAATGAAGAAAAAGGAAAGAGAAAGAAAGAATGTAGAACGGCAGAGTAAAAGCAAAATAGCTGTAAGAGAGAAGATATTTTTGAAAAAAAAGTTGATAGAGTCAAAGAAAATACCTTATTTGACGGCTTAAAAAGCGAACAGGCATATTAGACGCCTAAAAAATTCAGTAGGGCATATACAGGAAAACATTTTTGATCTATGGAAGTATGTTTTTTTTAATAATAAAATACACTACAAAACAGTACAAAAACACTTAGCATATAATATTACTGGATACGCTATATATATGTATATCTAACAAACATCTTACTTATTATAAAACGCAGATTGTGTGTGTGTGTGTGTGTGTCTCTACGTTTATATATTGGATCGGAATTCCTACATTTTTCAACCGATTTCAACAAAACTTCACAGGACTACGTAAAATTACCTTGCGGTGGTTCTGACAGCGCCCAAAATTGGAAAAATACAATTGTTTTTGCACGAAATCAATTTGAAAACACGATTAAGAGGCATCGCTTTCGCAGAATGAAAGGGGGACAACTCATATCGAGTTATACTTATTATAAAACCCAGGTTATTTGTGTGTGTGTGTGTGTGTTCCTTTATATATGGGATCGGATTTCTTACATTTTCAACCGATTTCAACAAAAACTTTTTTTTTTTGGCAGGTAGTGTTTCTTATTGTCTTGCACACTTTTTTTTCTTTATTTCTACATTCAGAATGCTTTAAAAATTCCATTTACAAGACAATTGTTTATAATAAAATTCTATTCAGTCGGTAGACTCATAACAATTGAAAACAATGTTTTTGTTTTAGTTTGGGTTTGACCAATTCGTAAAAAAAAATAAGACATGCGTGTCCGTCAACCTTAAACAATAATCTTTGTCAATTTTATTTTTCAGTCTTTATGATGGTCGATACTTGATCTGTCTCTTACTGTTACATCCCCGGGCAACGCTGGGCTCTACTGCTAGTCTGTAATGTAGTTTCCCTGTGCTTTTTCTATAAATATTTTCATAGTAATTGTTCTGATGAGCTTTCCTCTTTGATACCGAAACTTTATGAATTTAAGCACTGTCCTAGATTGGCGGCAAGGTGTCACTACTTTACAGTTGAAATAGTTTGATGCAACCGTAGCTTCTATGCTTCTCTCGCCCTACTCGCTTGTGGAACTCTTTTCCGGTTTCTTGCTTTTCAGTCACCTTTGATCTTCAAAATTTTAAATATAATGCCAATCGGTATCTTCTCTCTGAATTCCTGTGCTTTTATTCTACCATCTCCTTAATAATGTTTTCTTTTTTAATATATTTTTCGTTTATAAATTATTTTTGTAGATATAGTTTATTGAAGTAAATGCTCTCTTTTTATATTAAACAGTATTAATAAACATTTAGCGGTCTGATTGTTCGAGAAATTTTGTAGAAAATACGTGCTTCTCTGACAGGAATCGAACCTGTAACCCTTAATGGTAACCATCATTTGATCTGATGTGCTGTTAACCATTCAGTCACAAAGAGGCGACTAGTCAGCAAAGTCTGAATTTCGATCATATCTGCTCACGAAATGTATCTTAACGTAAACAATGACAACCTACTATGAAATCGATAATGTCCGACAATTATTTTAATATATTTTTCGTTTATACGTTATTTTATATTCATAGGCATAAAGTATGTATATTAATAACCATCACTGTATGACTTTGGCTAATACTAAATACAGAAACCCCATTGCTCTCTCTAATTATTTCTGGAAATTGAAAGATTCCGGTAACTCCCCTCCACTTAACTGGGACATAATGTCAAAGGCTAAACCATTCAATGGTAAAGGGAATAAATGCAACCTGTGTTTAGTTGAAAAAATAATTATCTTACAACTTTTACCGCGCTTACTAAATAAGAGAAATAAACTAATGGTTACATGTAGGCATAAAAATAAATATTTACTTAAACACGTAGACCCAGATTAATTTCTCTATACTGTCGCGGTTTATTTTTTTAGTGTAGGGTATTACTTAGTATTTATTTATTTATCTATTAGCTCATTAATTCATTTATTTATTTACTATTTATTACGTATTGTGGGTTAGTACTTATTGTTTATTAATATAGATTTATATATATATATTTATTTGTTATTTCTATATATTTTCTACAGATTTTTATAGTTTTTTAAAAGTTTTTATATGTTATTATGATTTTTTATATTTATTATATCTATTTGTATTTATATTTATTTTTTTATCATTTTGTTTTAGTAATGTTACTAAGTTTACATTAAATTAGATTAATTAGTTCCCTTCTATTATATAAATAATTAATAGCTGATAACCCACTACTCTAAAATAAAATTAATAATTCAAAATAAATGCTTATCTTTTACGTTCATATGGTAATACTGGTCATCTCATTTTAATGTCATGAGAAATATAATTATTTTAAAAAAGTTAAAAAATATCTATATCCCAATATAGATAGTGCTTAACTACGCCAGCGTTATGATGGTGAAATACTATTTTAAAATTATATATAAGTAACAGTCAGTACACACTCAGCATTACGTGTCGGTGTATGTGTGCATGTGCGTGTTATTTACGCTGTTTCCCGTTTAGCGATATTTCAAAATGTGTGGCTGTTTTTAATACCGTTCTCGTGATATATTGTTCCTTTTCACGTCGTTTTCAAAAAGGAATGCGTCACCGTGCCGTCGATTTTAAACAGTTTAATTCCTTTTATTCATGGATTTATTCACATTCTTAATTTCTTTCATTTTCCGTTTTTTCTCCATGCATATTTTTGTATTCTCTTAGTCTTTATTATTTTTATTCAGTTTGTCTTTTTTTTTATTATATACCACACTACGAAAGTTATTTTGTCTCATACATATACAAAATTGACAAAATTATTATTATTATTATTATTATTATTATTATTATTATTATTATTATTATTATTATATCGTATTTGAAAGAAAGCAGACGGCTTTTATATGTTTCTTTAAATTCTTTCACAGTTGTAAATAAGAACATAAAACAAAAATATTGTTTTTAATCATTTCACCCCGGGCAAGTCAATAAAGCCACAAAGACGGAAGAGTAAGTGTAAGAGAATATGAAAAAAATAAAACATTATTTAGGTGAAAGAAAAAAAAAAAGAACAAGAAATAAGACAAATTGACATTGCATTTAAATTTTTGAAGATTAAAGCTAAGTGCCAGAAGCTACATGCGAGAAGTGTGGGAGAAGACAACGTTAGCATAGAACTTACGGTTACATCTAGCCATTTCGATTGTAAGACAATGAGATCTTGGCGCCAATCCAGTACTTTGCGTAAGTCAAGGTACCAAATAGAAACGATCATCAGAACATTTACCTTTAAAATAGTTATAAGAAAAGCACAGGAAAAGCGGCGTTACGGCGCTGGGGGGGGGGAAATGACTGAAGCCGAGATGCCAGGTCAGGACCAATATTAAGAAATCACATTTAAAGAAATAGAATAGAACACTTTTATATGCCTAAGAAAAGAAAAGAAATATACAAATAACATGTGTGTGCGCGCACACACACAAACACAAACACACACATACGCACACACATATATATATATGTCAAATATGTGGTGCAGTTCAGTTTATATTAGAATGAATCATTCATACAAAAAGTAGATTAGGAATTTTAATGATGTAAAATGGCGAAATCCCTTCGCTAACAAAATTTTAAAGGTGCATTAACCTACAAATCATTTGTTGAATGTTATGATCGTTGTTTTTAAAAAATTATAAGCTGTATAAGGTCTTTCTTTAATACGCAAGCACTTTCATCTGTACATTCAGTCATCTTCAGGCATTTACTAATCCACTTTTTTGCATGAATGATTCACTGTATATATATATATATATATATATATATATATATATATATATATATATATATATATATATATATATATCCGAATAGTTTGCGCAAGTTTTTTACTGTTATTTTTTGATTGGCTAATCAGGTAATGGCACGTTATTTAGACTGTCGACTGGAGCTTGTGAAGCTGTATTATGCTAATAATGAGAACGCGGCAGCAACAATGAGAACTTATAAAACAATGAACAGTTTAAACAGGATCCTTTTGAAACCACAAAGACACTGCATGATATTCTTTCAAATGTGAGGCATTCCTTAGAAGCCGAGCGCACAGCTCAAGTTATGGATAGCCTGTCAATAATTCGATGAAACATGAAATCTTGGTCATACAGCAAAATGGAGGAACAACTGAAAATTTGTTGTAATTTCAAAATAGACGTTGTTTTTATAATTGCTTACTTTGCACTTAATGGTTTGAAAACTTGCGTTCATTTATTTTCATCCTATATATATATATATATATATATATATATATATATATATATATATATATATATATATATATATTGAATTGAAAAATGAACAAATCTTTACGTGTACCCGACATTTTATAAATCCGTAACAATATGAAATTAGATTTTAAAGTTTATCGTAAACCCACTAACGAAAACATTGTAATTAATTTAACTTCCTACCACAGTCAAGGATAAAATCTGGACTAATCACAGTATTCTACCAGAGGTGCCTTAAGATATGTATCCCTAAATACCTAAATGAAGAAAAGAAATATATTGAGAAAATATTCAGAATTTTTCACTACCAACATCATTTCATCCTCAACACTAAAAACGAGCTGACAAAATCCACAAAGCAAATAAACTGGAAACAATTAATAACACTTCTAACAGAAATTGCACAAAATTCATCCAACATTCTTTCTACTAAACTAGAAAACAAATTAGTAAACTTCAATACTAGGGTCGTTAACACTTTCTCCAAGACAACCGCAGATATAATTAGGAAGAAAAATAAACCCAACACTAATTCAAATGGCAGTATTTATCAAATAAATGCCCGCTTAGACATATTAGGTCTTTTGCAAACTTACATACATATAGAATTATATGCGGTTTTAATGCACGTGATACATGACTGACCAATGAGAGTCGATCCAAAGAATTGAAAATACTAAAGTTCTGTCTTTTTGTCTGTTTTCTCTCAATCTCTGACGAAGCTTTAATAAAAGTGAAACATGTTAGATTCATAAACGTTTCCTATTTGTTCTCTGTCTTATCATCGTGTCGGATTCCGATCCATATTTAATCGACATTTCAACTTTAACTCATATATATATATATATATATATATATATATATATATGTGTGTGTGTGTGTGTGTGTGTGTGTGTGTGTGTGTGTGTGTGTGTGTGTGAAGTCTCCCGTCGTATTCGACGTATGAAGGTCAAGCAGCTCAGTTCCTAGGAACCGACAGCCCAGAAACCAGCACATATGATTTGATTATAGTGGTGAAGGCTTTGTGCAGAACCAAGCACACCTTTTTGAAGGGCCGAATACAGAGACCTGGTGAACTACGTGCCACAAGGTCCAGAAACGACCCTCCGCAGGTATTGAATTCAGAGTTTTCCTTCTACTAGACCGGATGTCATCCAAGGCTATAGAACTCAGTCTGTCCTGCTTTTTATCCATAGGTGGAGGGAGAAGAAGAGGATTAATATCTTTTCCAAGGGTATAAGCACGTAAGTGAATGTAATCGATTCGACTGGAATTCGAACTCAGCTCTCCCTCTATATATGCATGTATAAATTGGTATCGAATATGCATTAGAATCTGACAGAATGATAGGATAAGGAACAAATAAGAAAGGTTTTCTGATGAAGCTTAAATAAAAGCGAAGCATGTTAAATTTATAAACGTTTCCCATTTATTCATTATCTTTTTGCACACACGCATACACAACGCACAAACACACACACGCACACACATATATATAGAGTGAGAGATAGATAGATAGATAGATAGATAGAGAGAGAGAGAGAGAGAGAGAGAGAGAGGGAGATAAGGAGAGCGAGTGTGTGAGAGAATTACATAAAGAGAAAGAAAGATTTTAAAAACTAGAAAAAATATTTTAATGATCAGATAATACAAATGAAAAAGAGTTTGAGGGAAAAATCAGTTGTAATTAAGGCAAAGAAGCTTGAATGTGACCCAGTCGGCGCCATTATTGCGAGTTTGAACACAGATAAAGTTTAGAATCTTGAATACTGATTTTACACTTTAAAGCTTGGAGCAACACAATCTTCTGTTTCCTTGTTAAGTATTTATTCTCTACTAAGATACGCTCGGAAAGCATTAAGACAGAGAGAGAGGGAGAGAGAGACAGAGAGAGATGGATAGAGATGGATAGAGAGAAATGAAAAAGGAAAGAAAGAGAAATGGCGGAGATAGTGAAATACGGAGCGAGTCGTACAAGTTAAAGATTGGTTAGAGTCGGGAAGTGAGAAACTGTCAATTAGGAGACGAACAAAGGAGAATGAAAGAAACAGTAAAAAGGACATTGAAGAAAAAAGTTAAATAAGAAGAGGAGGAAATGTAAAGAGAAAAAAAGAAGCAAAAGATGATTTGTTGAGAGTGTGAAAGAGAGTGAGAGGAAGAATGAATGAGAAAGGAAGAAAGAGAGAAAGAGAAAGAGAGAAGGAAGAGCGAGAATGATAGAATAAATTTAGAGAGAAGCCGAGTAAATGAAAATCAACAGCAACAGTTGTGTTTTAACGAAAAGAAGAAAAACAGAAGGAATAAGTTTCTATTCTTTTTGCCATTTTCATTGGTCCAAATGAAAAATGATAAAAAGAAGCAAAAACAAAACGAGGAAGAAAAAAAGAAAGAAAAGGGGAGATAGGAAGAAAGAAGGAAATCAACGGCAACAGCAAGAGAAAGAAGTAAAAGAGAATAGAATGGAAGATGGAGAGAAATGAAGAAGAGAGAGAAGCAGAGAAGGGAAAGAGATAAAAATAGAAAGCAAAAGAGAGATATTAAAGAGAAAGATAGAAAGAAAGAGATCTGAAAAGAGAGGATGAGAGAGAAGAAGAGTGTGTGAGACAGAAAGAAACTGAGCGAGATAGATAGATAGATAGATAGATAGAGAGAGAGAGAGAGAGAGGGAGGGAATTTGAAAGATAAAAGAATTGAGAAAAGCCTAGTAATTGAAATCAGCAACAATTGTGTTTTTTTTTTTTAAAAAGAAAAAACGAATAAGTTTTTATTCTTTTTGCCATTTTCATTGGTTCGAATGAAAAATGATAAAAAAAAAAAAAACAAGGAAGAAAGAAAGAAAGAAAAAGTGAGAAAGGAAGAAAGAAATGGCAGAGAAAGCAAGAGAAATAAATAAAAAAGAATATAATGGGAGAGAAATGAAGATGGACAAGCGGAGAGAGGGAAATGGAGAAAAAGAGAAAGCGAAAGAGAGTTATTAGAGAGAAAAATAGAAGGAAAGGGAAAGATATCTAGAAAGAGAGAGTGAAAGAGAAAGAAAGTGAGCAAGAGAAAGATAGATAGATAGATAGATAGATAGATAGATAGATAGATAGAGAGAGAGAGAGGAAATTTAGAATGAAAAATTGAAAAAAAAGCAACAACTGATTTTTACTAAAACAAAAAAGCATACGTCCATATTGTCGCACGTCCGTTTTCCTGCACGTCCATATTTACGCACGTCCATCCACACAAACAGCCTAACCATCCCTTTTGGCAAGGGTTAGATAACAGCACATGCGTTAATGATGAAGGCAGCAACTTTGGTGCTAGAAAGGTCGATCACAGCTGAGCCTTTACGCGGGAAAGGACGAGACTAATATGGTGACAGCATTGGCGTCGACGAATGACGAAGATTATTTCAACAAAGCGGAAATTTCAAATAATGGACAACGATAATTATACTGAATTAACTGTGACACTTCGGACCAAAAATGATAGACAAGGAAAAATTAATAATTACAGAGATAACTATGATAAGATCTAATACAAAAAAACATACAACCACTATGTAATCAACCAATTTTACAGACAGATTTATTGATGCTGATAACAATATATGAAATTATAATGGAGATTTGGTTAATGAATATGATGATATTAATGCTACATAACAGTGACTGCTAAATGATGTTCGGGATTATTAACTCGAAAGTAGTAAAGTAATTAATGGTGTTGCTGTTGATGGTGCCGAGGACGATGATAACCAGGTTGATGATGAATATGTCGACAAAAGGAAGCATATAGCACTGAATCCATATAATAATAATAATAATAATAATTAATTGTTATGAAAGACCACAAACAATTGTCATTAAACACCACAAACAAAAAAGGTGCCTCCTTGTTGATATGGCAGTCCCTGCTGACTGCGAGGTATCTTTGAAGATATTCAAAAAGCTGTCAAAATACAAGGACCTTGAAATAGAAATCTCGAAAATGTGGCATATGGGAACATCAACAATCCCTGTTGTAGTTGGAGCCCCAGGACTGGTTGGAAAAGATTGCAGTAGACTAATTGAAGGGGTTCCTGGAAGTCCATGCCTCAAAGAGATACAAAAAATTGTTGTGACAAGTACAGCCCACACTTTACGAAGGGCTTTATCTATGTAATTTTTTTTTTTTTCAGTGGAAAGTGTCATGATGCCATTTCTAATCTTAGGTCCCTGAACGGGACCCGGAAAGAAATGTGTAAACGCCAGAAATCAAAAAAATAATAATAATAATAATAATAATAATAATAATAATAATAATAATAAAAAAACATATAAGCAATGATGTCGACAGTGATAATAATAACATTCGGTGTGTACAGTATTTGCTTTTACGTTGGTGTTTTGAAGACATGTTTTCTACCTACTCTGAATCCATCATAAAAATTCAGGATGTTTTATTAGTAAATATTAAACACCTAAAATACCTGGATGTATGATTCAATTATAACCAACTTAATATAGAAGAAAAGGAAATTGAACGTGCTAAGGCATGGTTTCGCCTACTACAGCAAACTGATACAAAACCAAAACATTAATCTAAATGTGAATGATAATATATGTGGGCACGTGGCCGAGTGGTTAGAATGTTCGCATTCTGACCAAGTGACCCGGGGTTCGAGTCTCACAATATGTACGGCACCTTCGTAAACCATACCACGGGTTGACTCAAGCCTTGTGAGTAGACGGAATCTGATGGCTTGTGCGTGTTGGCCTTGTTCAAATTGTTTATCACGCTAGATAACACGCTCTTTCCCAGGAACTGTAACTAAGATCTGCTCAGCATAGTTGCAGTATAAACCACAGGTAGGCTCTGTGGGTGTTGAATAAACACAAATGAGCTTTATAAGGAAGCATTTTGGATTTATTGACCGAACAGCCACTGTCGGTTGAAATTTATAAAATCTTTATTTTAAAACAATTTTTCAGAAAAATAGATTTACTCAAGTCCTGTAGCTGATTACAATATAGATGGTGCTTTATTTTCTTTTCGAGCTGCATCTGTTATTACTCGAGTTTTGTTCTTAAATATTCTCATCTGATCGAGACTTTCATATGGATGGCATATATGGTGCAAAAGATCTAAACAGTCAGCTGTATAGGACTGCTTAAGTCAATGGTTAAAAATGGCTTCCAGCGAAAGTGGCTTGTAGGTCTTACCGAGGACTACTCTTCTACGAACCTTGTAGACTGGCGTTACAGAATCACAAAGAACAGTACTAAATAGCACTTAGGGACATCCAGCAACGGCAACAGCTAAAATGGATAGCACAATATCAAAGATGGAGAGTTTCTAAAATGAATTAAAACAATATATTTAAAGTACAAATTTCCAACAAAACACACACACACACACACACATATATATATATATACATATATATATATATATATATATATATATATATATATATATATATATATATATATATATATATGTAATTGTATTGTTGGAAAATTGTTCTTTAAATATATTGTATATATTATGAGAAGTTATTGTTGACCCTCAATTTGTTGTTCCATGATCTCTTGGTTTGTTCTCTGATGTTGACATCTTTCGTCATTTTGGATTTTAGAAAGAGAGTGGCTACTGAGCTCAAACGATGAAAATAATTTCTGAGTAAGTTGAAGGATTGACTGTTGCTGATGTTAATCAGGGCCACCTTAGAAATGTATTATCCTTTGCACCCACTGGATTTCCATGTTAGTGAGTTGAGACATGGATTTTGATAGGTTTTGAAATGGAGGTTAAAATTGTCTCATTAGGATATGTGGGACGGCGAGCCTCCTCGACAGTAACACTGTTCCTGATGTCAATGGTCGTTATGAACATTTAGCGTCGCATGAGAAGAAGGAATTCACAAGTTGGACTAATTTGAGGCGTCTATATTGAAATATAGTGGGAGCGAGCCAATGTATAAAGTCAGAATCGAAGAAAATGTCGTGTATAATATAAAATGCAAAGGGAAAGAACAAAAAGTTTTCACGAGGACGAATCGTCGCTGAAAGTAAACGAAATCCACATAGAGTTTGAAGACGGGGACGGGAAGAATGATAAATTTATATCGTAGACTTTGATTCATTTTTTACGTGTTATCAACCCTTTGTGGGCTATTTAAAGCCGAAACGTATTTCGGATTGTAAGAATAATTCTTTTTTAGCTAATATTTCATTAACAATTTTCTAAGAATAATCTAAGAAATCGTCCAATACCTTAAATTTCTGGTACAAAGAAAAAAAAAACCCCAAAAACACCGAGTAATAAGTTAAAACGAAGGGTACTCATTTCCATGTGGTGAAATCTAGGTAGGTAGTACCTGGCTTATTAGGGATTTATTTACACACACATACATACACACACACTCACACAGAGGCATACATATATATATATATATATATATATATATATATATATATATATATATATATATATATATATATGGTGCATTTAGGCAGCAAGCCTTCATTTATACATGTTTTCTTTTCTTTTCTGGACACAGTGTGTAGAAACTGTCCAGATGTTCTGTAATTCCGAGTGCTTTTGGCTATACTTTTAGTCATTATCAAGGTTGATTTTATTTTTACTTTTTACTGGACGTATGTGTGTATGTATGTATGTATGTATGTATCTAGAAATATAAGCATGTTTTATTTTCTGAACAAAGTCAGCACATTGTGGCCATGTTCGTAGTTAATATTATTGAGTGTCAGCTTTTTCTTTTTTATCATTAAGGCTTCCATTGTGTTTAATCTTTTTTTACGCGTGGAAGAGGTTATTATGCTTGTATTTTCTACTAGTATGTTTCGGATGGATTCTAGTAAGTTTGTGTGTGTTTAAATGGGTTCTAATGGAGTCGAGAGTTTCTACACGTTCTGTATCCAGAAAAGCAAATACTTGTTAAATTAAATAAAAAAGCTTAATCACAGTACCTTATCTGTTTTATTTAATGAAACACACACACACACACACACATATATATATATATATTATAAATTAATTGATTTAAAATATGGTATTTTCGCTACACAGTTCTAACCATGTTTCAAAAATGGAGGCTAAAAGCCACGAATTTAATTTTGCAGTTAAATTAAAGACATTAGTTCCATTTCATCCTCAAGCGAATTTTGGAGTAACTTTTAAAATAAGAACACCGGATTATATATCTTACTGTTCTTTCTTTTTATTTATATACATACATATATATATATATATATATATATATATATATATATATATATATATATAGAGAGAGAGAGAGAGAGAGAGAGAGATAGATAGATAGATAGATATGACACGAATTAGAAATCGGCTCTCTTTATATAGTTCCGAGTCGCTGTTCATTACACTACCGCTCATCTTATATCGTAGATAACTTTTGAGATTATTTCAAATCGCTACTCATTGCAATCGTCATGATCTGGTTACTTAAAAAACTCAAACCTCTTTTCTTGTGACGCGAGAAAGAATTTTAGGAGATTATCCCAAACTAGAATAGTAAATTTTGAGATTAGACACAAGAGCGGGGATTTTTCCAAACTTATTTTAATCACACTAAATTTTTTAAAGGATGTTCCTTCAGGGAGGCTTCGTGCCTTGAACGCTAATTGGGACTTAAACTCAACCCAGACCTCAACGAGATCTTATACATACGTACCATCGCTAAAGATGCTGGAAAAATGATCGGTTCCTGGTACCGCTTTAGTAAGTAACTGGCGTCCACTTCTATCCAGGCCCAAAATGGTGTACTGTTGCCATATATGGACCGGAGCAGTAATTCTTCCCCTTCCAGTCTCAGTAGAGTCCAAAATCATCTCCACGTCCTTGTCGGTGGCAAATTATTTTCCACCGTACAACTCTTCAATCACAGACGAAACGTCACAAGACTCTTGTTGCTCTATCGTTATTTCCATGCAAAGTGTTCAGACAAAATACATTCCTTAATTTCACCAGTTCTAACGTTCACGTCTGAGACCCGCTATGCTACGTATATTCTAGAAAACCACCGTATTCAATTGATGAGATGCAACTTCCTCGCGAAGACCTTCTCTGTGGAACTAACTCCTAGGAGAAGGCTTCACCGATCACTACAATCTCAACTTGTTCAAATCTAGGGTTAACATTTATGTTCCTCACATATTCGCATAAACGGGGCCTTTTACACGGTAACCCTCTAAATCGATTGGCTCTTCAGACTTGCAAAGTGTGAAAAAAGTACGCAATGGAGTTTCTAGATCTACGACCATCT